TGGCAGGACGTGCCAAGACTTGGGCACTGGGGCTCAAGCTGCACGACCCATACGCGTTTGGGTCGTTGGAAGTCTTCAAGTCGCGGCTCAGACAAACGTTTGAACCGCCTAGAGCTGAGTTCAGAGCTCGAACCGAACTCTTGAAGCTCAAGCAGGGTAAGCGTGATGTGCACGCTTACGCCCAACATATACGACATCTCACGAGTTGTATAAGTTCCAATCCGGTGGATGAACACACGTTGGTTTCGGTGTTCATGCAGGGTCTTGCGGATGGTCCCGTCAAGACTCACCTGTTCCGGCTTGAACTAGATTCACTAGAACAAGCCATTTCCATTGCGGAGCAGGAAGACTTCAGTCTGAGACAGGCTCGCGCCAGCTCGACATCATATCGTCAACCGAGACGATATGACAACGGAGGTCCAGAGCCGATGGAACTCTGTTATGTAGAGAGCGAGAAGGCTCGCTCTACAGGCTACAAGAAGTTGCAGAGATGCAACAGATGTCAAAAGACAGGACACTACGCTTACGAGTGTAGTGCCCCTCGTCCAGTGTCTCGCGACACTGGGCGTAGTGACCGTCCACCCATGAGAAAGGGGCAGGGACGAGGGTCCGCAGTTGGTGCAAAGACGCAACAACGGGATGGACCGTCAAAAAACGGACAGGATCAGTAGGTGCGGAGCACCCTACTGATCCAGCAACGTCAAGAGAATTTGTAGGCCTCTTGATGAAGGTTGCTCCCAACACACAGACGTTGTGCGTTGCTGCTCTAGGTAATGAGATCTCACTCATTACCTTGAAACTCGAAGTGACGAACAAGTTGTCCCTTCGAGCTCTAGTCGATTGTGGGGCGTCCAACAATTTTGTGCGACGCCAATCGCTAGAAGATGGTCACTTTTTTAATTCAGTGAATGTGACACACCTCCTACGAGGATGACGGTACGTCTTGCGACAGGCGCATCCGTAACCGTCATGAAGCGTATAGTGAAGATTCACTATGCGCTAGAAGATACCCAATACGACGATGACTTTATCGTATTGGATTTGGATGACAAATTTGATGTCATCCTTGGAATACCGTGGCTCAGAAGGTACGAACCACGGGTAAACTGGCAACATCGGACAGTAACGATGCCTGCCGCTTGTTCATCAGATGGCCATCTGATGAACGTTTTGGAGCGTCCACAAGCGTGTGGATGTACTACGAGTGAGTGCGATGGCCTCACTTGTGGTACGGTCGTTAGTACGACTGCACAAAACCTTAGTGTACCAAACGGTTACACTTCGGAGCAAAGTTCCGGCGGCTGTGAGGAAACACAGGCTGCGCCGAAGGTCCACCACTCGAATAAGTCGGGTGGACTGGGACAAAGATGTATCCCTAGAGGGGAACATCTAGAAGAGAAACAATCGATCGCTCAGGTTAAGCGAAACGATAATCCTAGATCGACTGGAGAGTCTTTCGTAGAGGATCTCGCTGTGGTTGCGCAACCCCAGCTAGAGGAAGTAAAGGGAATAAGTCCCAAGATTACAAATACGGCGGAAATAAGTTCCCCGAAACCCGCGGGAATAAGTCCCCGGGAAGACGAAGGAATAAGTCCTTCGAAGCCTGAGGGAATAAGTCCCCAGGAAATGACAGAGACATTGAATGTCATAGTCAATAACGGATCATGTGTAGGCGCTTATACACTTGATCTGATTGCGCCTCCGAAGTTAACTTCGGAGATCACTCAGTTGCCAACGCTCGAACATAAAAGGTTCTTGCGTGATCTGCGTAGTGGCAAAGTCAAGCAGATCTGCATACTCGTCGCTGACGACGAGTATGTAACCGACATAAGGTCAGCAACAGTGTTTACTGAGAACGAGAGAGTTCTCAGTAGTTCATCTATGGACGAGAGTGTCCTAGATGAAAAGACACGAATTGAGCGATATGAGTCCCAATCATGGGAATCGCTCAAGGAAAATCCTCTCTATGAAGATTTGGTTGAATTCAAGGATGTATTCCCTGAAACTGTTCCGTGCGAATTACCGAAGGATAAAGGTATTCGACACGAAGTCGAGCTTAAACCAGGCTCGAAGTACTGTGTCATGAAGCAGTGGCCACTGCCTCGTGAACAAGTACTTGCGATCGACAAGTTCTTTGCCGATCGTTTAGCAGCGGGCCATGTGAGGGAATCAACTTCCCCACATAGCTCTCCGACCTTCTGTGTGCGAAAAGCAACAGGAGGGTGGCGGATAGTGCACGCGTTTAACAAATTGAACGCTGCAACGGTACCGGCTCAGACGCCGATACCGAGGAAGGACGTAATCATTGATGGTATGTCAAAGAGTACCATCTTTTCGTCCATGGATTTGATGGATGGCTTCTATCAAATTTTAATGCGGGAACGGGATATACCCTATACCGCAGTTAGCACGCCTAGCGGCATGCTCTGGGAATGGCTAGTAATGCCACAAGGGCTCAGTAATGCCCCTGCCACGTTCAACAGGTGTGTATCACATCTGTTGAGGCCAGTACGAGAATTCGCGCCGAGTTATTTCGATGACGTATTCATCCATAGTCGAGCTATGGATGGAAAGTCGGACGTTGAGGTTCACAAGTACCACGTCCGACAAGTTCTTACAATCATGCGAAAGCATCAATTGTATGCAAACCTCAAGAAGTGTATATTTGCAGCAAGCGAAATACCACTTCTTGGGTGCATCGTTGGTAAGAACGGTGTACGTCCTGATCCCGAAAAGATCAAGGCGATCACCGACTGGCCTGTGCCGGTCGATGTCAAAGGTCTTCGAAAATTCCTTGGGCTAGCGGCGTATTTGCATAAGTATTCACGCAATTACGCCGAGATGACTGTACACCTCTCTCGTTTGTTGAAAAAGAACGAGAGGTGGTTATGGAACGCTGAATGTCAACGCTCCTTTGAGGGTATCAAGCAGAGCTTGATACAATCCCCAGTCCTAGCAATAGCCGATCAGGACAGGCCATTTCATGTGGTCTGTGATGCCAGCGATTTCGCAATCGGCTGTGCATTAATGCAGTACGACCTTGAAGGCGTTGAACGCGTCGTCTGCTATCAGTCGCGTCAGCTGCAACCAGCTGAGCGGAACTATCCAGTGCATGACAAGGAACCCCTTGCCATGAAGTATGCACTCGCGAAGTTCAGAGTCTATCTATTAGGAGATAGACCCTTCGTTGTTTACACTGACCATGCGTCCTTACGCACGGCAGTGAACAGCCCGCACCTTTCACAACGAATGGCGCGGTGGTTGTCATTCTTTGCAGAATACAACTTTACGGTCGAGTACAAACCAGGACGACTTAATGTCGTCGCTGATGCACTCTCACGTCGTCCCGACTTTGAAACAGTCGCGAAACCCAACAGTGAGACAGTCACTGTTGCGGTTATGACGTCCTCAGTTCCATCTACAACGTTGTATGATGATGTGAGGCGGGCATACGCCCAAGATGGTGAGATAGTGAAGTTGTTGTCACATCTCTCCCAACCATCTCGAGAATCGTTGAAACGATTGTCGTCTGCGTATCGATCTGCATCAGATCGATACACTACTCGTAACGGTTTACTGTACTATACAGCCGTTTCTGGTGACACACCACGTGTTGTCATTCCAGATGATACTGATCTGCGTTTGCGGATCATGTTCGAGTATCACGATGCTCCTATAGGAGGACATCGTGGCCGAGAGAAAACATATCTCACGGTAAGTCGAGACTTTTACTGGCCCCGCCAGTATCAGTTTGTGCGAAAGTATGTTCGCGCATGCGAAGTCTGCCAACGAGTGAAGTCAAGTCCTTCACTGCGTGCACCTTTACAGCCTCTACCGGTTCCGGCTGAGTGCTGGGAATCCATCTCAATGGATTTCGTCTTCGGGTTACCCAAAGACGCACGCGGGAATACGGGTATTCTCGTATTTGTTGACAGATTCAGCAAAATGGTACACCTTGTGGCTGTACCAGAGACAATCACGGCAAGTGGCTGTGCTTGTGTCTTTATTGACACCATCTTCCGACTTCATGGGTTGCCCCGTGAACTCGTATCAGACAGAGATCCACGATTCACTGCTGATTTCTGGCGTTCCGTGTTCAAATCACTCGGAACGCGCTTGAAGATGTCAACATCTGATCATCCAGAGTCAGATGGTCAGACGGAACGTGCCAATCGTGTCCTTGAAGAGATACTTCGAGGATACGTCCACTCCTTTAAGAGTTGGAGTGAGTTTTTGCCAATGGTAGAGTTTGCCATCAACAACTCGGTGCATGCGTCCACGACACATACACCGTTTTACGTGAATGGCTTGCGCCATCCGCGTGTACCCACCTTACTAGAGTGTAACTCTGGTTTAAGAGGGGGAGGGACTCGCGCGAGCAAAAACCGATTTGGTTCACGCTCATCACGCTCTGACGAAGAAGTCATTGCGTTTGATGCCGATATCGATAACATCGATATCGAAGAAGATGATGCCAGTGAGAGTGCGGAAGCCCTCACTGAAGACAATGATCCCAGTGAGAGTGCGGAAGCCCTCACTGAAGAAAAGGTTGTTGTCGCTGCAGTGCGCTCACAGCACACTGAAGCTAACGAGTCATCAGATGAGTTCATACTGGCTCGTGAAACGGTAGTCCGTTTTGTGCAAGACTCCATCGCCGAAGCGGTGGATAAGCAAAAGCAAAACGCTGACAAGAATGGAAGGGCAAACACTCTTTTATTTAATAAAGGTGACTTAGTCCTACTGTCTACGGTTAATCTACCAAAGCATGTAGTGACTAACTTGGGTAGCAGTAAACTACTACCCAAGTACATTGGCCCATTTCGTGTATTGCACCGCCTAGGCAATGCATACACGATCGAGTTACCACGTAAGATGCGAACGCATCCCACGTTTTACGTTGGTCGGCTTAAGCCGTACCATCAGTACGCTGCTTCTTCCGATGAAGAACGCCCTTGCGCTCAAGCATCTTGCAGAGAGCCTTGTGCTCCCGATGGCGGGCATCAACAAGGTGTCTGAATAGCAGTTATCTCATCCCGAGACCGATCAACAATCCCACGAGCTACCCTTAGCTCGTCACGAAGAGATGTCAGAGATCTCTCGTTCTCAAGCTGAGCAAAGGCAAACTCAGCTCGATGCTTCGAGGCAGTGTCCACCATCTGGAGACGCCTATTCCGCTCATGCTCGAGATCGTCGCGTAACCCTTGCGTTACGCGATCAAAGAAGCTCTCGGGAACACACCGATCCACATGATCGTGTGGAGAGCGTCTTTCCTCCTCCTCCACCTCCATTAGAGGACTCTCGCGGTGGCCAGCGCTATCTAGTTGAGCAGCTGTTGAACCACCGCGACGTGAACGGACGTCGGACGAGTTACCTCGTCCGGTGGCGCGGCTATCCCCCGTCCTGGGATTCTTGGGAGCCCCGCTCCCAATTGATGGTTGACGTACTGGGTCTGGTCGAGCAGTACGACGCGACACATCCTGTGCCGCAGAAGGACCGCCGGAGAAAGTCTTCCCGGCACGGTCGTAAAGGGATTTCAGGTTGTCAATCCCTTCGTACATCTCAGTAGAGACACGTACGCGCCACCACGGGCTGGTAAGGAGGTAAGCCTCCTTAGGTGCTCGTGCAGAGTTGTTCACACAACATGGGCACGAGTCTCCCCAAGAGAGGCAGGGTAATCCCCTTCTCCCTTGACAGACGATGCAGCTTGTAGCGTGCACCTGTCGGGGTTCGCTTTTCAAACTTATCACGAGCTTTGATAAGTTTGTCGTTCCAAGCGTCACGACCTACATCCTCGAGATTATGGATGTAGGCGTTCCACGCCTGAAGTAGTGAGGGACCATCACGTTTGTGATTCCCACTGTACCATCGATGTCTGAAGAAAGCATCGATGAAGAACTCATGTTCAGCGCGATAGTCTTTCGCGCTGGGGTCAAGGTGATGAATCCTTGACGAATCGAACAATCGTGTTCGATAACGATCACTCGTCGTCGCCGACAAGTGATCCATGACAGATTTAGGAGGCATCCATGCCTTCTTTTCTGGAGCGAGACGCAACACATTGCGGTCCCGCTCTTCCTGCGACGTGCCGACAGAAGTACTGGCACCTCGCTGTGAAGTGGTGTCCATTGGAGAAACGACACCACTATTAGCGCCCGAGTCTCGCGACCTCGAGCGCCTTCGCTTCGGCGATGGTTCATCTGACTCATCAGATGAACCAAAGATGCTGCGACGCAAAGCATCGTCCATGCCACGCTTGGCAGGCGGCTTGGATTCAATTGCCGTCGATACGGATCCGTCATCCGTATCAGGAGAGTACGAGACACCGAGCTCGTACTCTGTGAAGACACGAGTGTCTTCATGACCAGCGCCTGCATCACCAGGTGATACAGGCTGAGTCGATTCAGCAACCGATGGGACATCAGTTGCCGTAGTTTCTGCTTCGGCGTCCGCACAGAGACGTGCAGACGCGCTCTCGGCGGCCTTGCTCGCGCATCGCATGGGCTTGTTTACCATGCGATGAGATGTTGGAAAGTGGACGCGGACCAACAAGTGCAAACCCCGTCCCAAATGATTTGGGACGAGTATCCATTTAGTCAATCAGTCACTAAAGTGACTGATGGTTAAGGGGGGTGATGTAACGGGGTGAATCGTTACATAACAATTTATAAGAAATTGTTAATAGAATATAACTATAAGAGTTATATTCTCAGAATATTGTCATAAGGACAATATTCTGTAGCACTTCCAAGTAGTTCCTAATTGGTTGATATAGGCCATTATATCAACCAACGAAGACGCGCCACGACAGACGCACGCAATGAGTGGTGAGCAGATAACTGATTTACACATTTGTATTTAGACATAGTTAGATGAAGATAAATAGTGATTTATTGCAGACATTAACTATTATAAATACAGTTCTACTTTTTACTCTAACCGAGTACTCGCTTCTTCTTACCGTCTTCCTCTGCACGTACGAGTGTACGTGAAGTTACGAGGCACCGCCTTATTCTGTTATCAGAATAAGTAGCTTGTACTGTCACCAGTACAAGCTTCAGGGTGCCCCGTTACAGACAGCATGACAGAAACGGCATGTTCGCCCGCGGTCGAATGCATTCGTTTGACCGGACCCATTCTATGTCACTCAAATAGGATAGCTTTCAGGCATGGCGTAAAATCCAAAATTTTGATCATCCAGCATGTTCATGTTGGTGTACTATACGGTCCGTCAAAGATGTTGCAGTCCTTTGACGGACCATAAAGTGCTAGTAGGTGTAACGGGGCGCTGGTCCCTAGTATTGCTTCAGTACTAGTGCACCTACACTGAAAATAGTGTAGGTAGTACCGCGCGTCACTTCACCTACACCGTACTTGCAGAGGAATGCTAGCTAATGAAGGACGCGTTCAATAGGAACAGAAAGCAAATGTATTGAACGTAAGTAAGTCCTAATTACATGCACCAATGTTTAGTCCTAAATCAATTTTGTTTTCTGCAAAAGTGCATGTAAAAGTCGTGGTCACCACCCGTTGCGCGCGTCTACCGTTGGTTGGACCGCTCGAGCTGGCTGATATGATTGCCCATATCAGCCAATCGGTGAGTGTTTCTGGATATTAGCCCTTATGATCATATTCGCGAACAATTATCGCCCTTTTTGATCATATACTAATGAACAAGTATCAGGCTTAACCACATGTGACAAGCTCACCCCGTTTCATGTGATATCACGCGTAATTCCATTGTTGCATGCAAGGAAAGGGTAATGATTAATGTACTCGGACAGTTGATGTCGTTGCTGGACCGCGAAACTAAAACCAATCAAATTTGTGTGCGCCCGCACTGGCCTTTGACAAGAACTTACGTAAAGCTTAACCCCGTCGACACAGTCTAAACAATTGTCACTAGAGACACATCCGACGCATAAATAATTGAAAGTGTCGGTAATTCCGGCTGCACAGAAATGTGCTCATGCGTAAAAATGTAGAAGGACATTCAACACAGGCTTTTTTATTCTGATTCAGCTTGTACTAAGTCACTTGAACGAGACGAACATTTTTACAAGAGCAGGTGATGTCCACAACCAATAATCTATCTTATTGGGCCCGTGCGTGAGAATGAATGCAGAGTCTTTACCAAAACCACGATACTTTCCCCAATCCGTTTTGGTACAGAATAATCGTCATAATGTCGGCATGCTCTTGCGCTAGCTAATGGAGAAACCTCACAATTGAAAAGAAGACAATGGAAGGTTATGAATTCTGCAGTATGAAAGGGATCAGTGCAATGATGAATGAAAGGGGGGGCTTAAAAATGGATGGTCTCTTGCTAATTGTGGCTGTTTTATTGTAAAATAGTGGATGGTCTCTAAGCATCTGTCATCACAGTTTAATTGAGCTCAATATGTAGCCAGCAATTTATGTCAATGGATATAGCAATTTATGCAGGTGTATTTGGAGCTACCTCGATTTAACCGTGCAGTACTTCTTTGATGAAACCTTCTTCCATCTGATTTAACGAGAATGCAACTGATTCCCGCAATCATTTACTGATCTATGATGTCGTCTGGCTCGCTACACTTCACGTTTACATCATACTACAATGATGTATCCTGTTCCGGATTTGTTGCAAAGTATCTGGTCCGACGAGTGCGAACTAATTGGTAGCTTTGACGAGCTTCGTTTTTGTATGTGTCACTATCGAGGAACGCCAGCGTCTGCTTCTGTAGACTGTCAACCCATTCAGCTGGTCCGGGGGTCCATGAAGCTTTAAGTAATGTATCACATAGAGTCTAAAACTAACCCGTGCCTGTCGTCACGGCATCTTTGAGAGCTTTTGCCATTTGCGACTCCTCCACTTTCTCTCACAACTCAATTTGCTAATCATCGACAACACCAGCACTTCACCTGACTAAGGACCGCACTGTCCTTCATTCAAGAATGCGTCTCCACTACGTCGCACTGCTGGTAGCTACTGCTCTAGCAACAAGCGCTCACGGACGTCAAACTGCCCCTGATGCGGGTAATCCCTCGCCCGTGCAGAAGTCATTGAAGGTCCTGAACCAAGTCAATGCCGCAGACAAGACACCACGATTTCTCGTAAGCAAAGACAGGGATGTGCCGCTAACGGTTGCTTCACCTAGGCATCTTTCGGCAGCTGTGCAGGCAGGTGGCGCTGACAGGCAATTGCGCAGCCACGACTACGAGGAAGAGCCCAGCGATGACGAAAACCGCATGTTTAAAAAGCTCCGCAAAAAAATTAAGAAAGCTCGCCAGGACCGCCGCGAACTTCGCAAGATGAGAAAGCGACATCGCAAGGAGCTAATAAGTCTGGCTCGTAAGCAACGTAAGCGCCACAAGCGTCGTTAGAGCCAGAAGACTCACAAAAGGCTTCAAGTGTCTGACAGAGTGCCAGTTTAGCTGACGAAGAGGGTGTCTGCAGCTCTTCTAGTGCTGACGTATCATGTACCACCACGCACCCAGCCAAAAACAACGGTCCAGCGTTGCGAGGAGATGGAGTCATAGGCGTAACTATGTGCATTTCGTTAACCAGACGCGATCGCATTATGTGCACTGGCTCATGTATGATTCGGTCTTTGCATCTCTAGCTCCTCTTGTAACATCGAAGTTCGTTTCGACTCTGGCATTCAGTGTCGTTCTGGCTCATTAAGACTAACAAGTGCCTTGAACTACGTTTCTCCTTCTAATTTATGGTGTCCTGGTGACCGCACGACTATTGCAAAAGTATGCCGGTATTATCTAACTACGTCTGAATGACAAGCTACTGACAGCTCGGAATGATGTGACGAGGTGCTCGCACAATCTCGATCGAGAATGATAGTCGTGTAGCTGCAATTGCGACTGGTGACGAAGGAACTGATCACGTTGCTGTAGAGCGATTCACTCACGTGCAAAAGACCACAGGCGTCAATGCTACTTCCGATACTCTAGGCTGTAATCATCCGTGACAATACTGTCCACGGATGAGATATGGCTGTGTGAGGCAATAAGGTGGAATAAATCACTACATCATGGTTGCCTTGTGTGGACCAAGATCCCGGAACGGAAATGTATGTCACGAACAGGGCTCGGCATTCACTGTAAGTGCGTCTTCGTTTTTGTGCGTGCGCGCACCGCCGGCTTGTAAAGGGAGAGATGCTTCGTGCTGGGCAAGCGAGGCATTGGGTGTGAGCATCGTACATCGACATGCGCAAGATGATTCCAATCTTGCGAGACGATCAAGCAAGCTTTTTCACCTGACGGTTGTGTAATGCGGACGAATCGACGCAGATTGTTTTGCTCGTGTCGGACATCCGTTTAACTCGGATGGCCGCGTACGTAGCTGCTACAAAGTTTTCTCGAGCACAGGCGACTCATCGTCCTGCTCGTCGTGGGCCAAGGCACAGCTGAGGGTGTAATAGTGGCCAGTAGTCGACGTCTTTTTAAACGAACAAAGCATTACGTTTGACAAGGCTGGGGTGTGCGAGGGACGGTTTCCAGAAGACCTACCGTTTCCGTACTGCTTCGCTGCTGCCTACGCCGATCGATGCTACCTGAGCTTTTATACGATTCGATTCAGAAAAGGCTTGATGTACTGCAGCCAAGGCGTGACAGCGGCTCGAGTGAACGATATGTTCCAGAGTATGTGCTCTTCGTCGCTGCAATGTAGACGGATGCGTAGCGTGTATCGTCGGTAACAAAAGAGAAGCAGCTTTTACTTTTATAAGATCGATTATGCATTAACAACTTGACTCGATACACTGTCTAGCATCCTGGAGGACTTCGTATACCGTCCAGTGCAGCAGAAAAGATGGTACTACCAGCTACATGACTGACTTTCATGTGTGTACTCTATCGTGTACGTGACTTCCATGCCATATTAACTTGTCCTTGCCATGTTATGCTTGAGATCAACTGTTGTGCAACCAGCTAGGCATAGTAGAATAGTACCAGACGAAGCCCAAGACTGGGACCAGCGATAGACCATCACTCAACAATGTCATCAGAGATCAGGACACAGAGTCGTGTTTGGCATCGAAATGAGCCGTCGCTTCCTAGTTGGGGCTCAAGTTTAATGCAGCTCTAGATAGACGGGTAGGACTATGATATGCTGCTGTACAAAGTCAATCCCAACATCGTGCAACGTCTTCGATAAGACGTCGTCATGAAAACCATATTTCAGGCGTTTGCTCACAAAGGTACCGACTTCAAACTTGATACGCATTATGTTACGAGGGACCTCCGTTACATGATATTTTGCGCAAGGTAGTATTATTATGAATATTATGTTAGAAAAACAAAACATTCTCACAACTTTATTCTAATTAATAATCTTGGTTCGCAGATTAACCATACTGCTCATTAACTGGGAGATGCAGACGTTTCCATATAACCATTAATGGTTGCAGGATGTCCGATAAATCTTGAGCCTGGTTAGCAACGTCGGTTTCTTCGACGAGTCCGGTGGTTGTACGGGGCTAGTTCGCCTAGGCGACTGCTCTCTTGGTTGTCTGTCTAAAATATGGTTGACATACTAACGAACGCGCTCCTAAAAATTTCGTGTCGGCCCTCCGATGCTCCCGCTTTGCTACTGCCCGGAACTTGTCATACCTGTTAGCCAAAATTCCTCGACGCAACCGTGAAGTGTAACTTCCGCTTGATAGTAAATCACCCGATTGCGCTGCATCTATAAGCTTGTAACGCACACGCTGCTCAGTATGCGCCACAATCGCATTCATACAGTTATGTACGCTTGAACCTCATCAGGGTGGTCTCGCCTGTTTTATTTTAAGACCCTTCAGGATAATTCCGGTATGCCTACTGGCGCTTGCTGGGAGGAATCCCTCGTGATTGCCCAGCTACTAACGTTGTCCCTTCCAATGGCAAAAGAGTTTTTGCTTACATGCCTGCGCACATGGGCAGGACCAGAAGATGTGTTCAAGATTCTTTTTCCCCTGGCAGCACTGCAGCTTGCGACAGATGGGGTCCTGCTGCCTCCCGGGAAAATGAGTGTTCAGTTGCCGCACTCCCACACGATAGCATACCCATACCTGATACTCCGTGAGCTCCTTGCCATCTGCCCAAAGAAAGTATGGTATCTGGGCTAATGCCCCGGCTTGCCAAGGACTCCATCGTGCCGCTTGCTCGAGTTTTAACACCGTCTGAGCTATTGCACTTCCTGCTCCTTTTAACCATCGAAGTGGCTGGTTCTATAACGCCATCAGGACGTGTTTGCTCGCGATCGAGTCCCAAACACTCCATGGAAGACCGTATAGAAACGGATGCGCATAAACGACACTGCCCCGCGCAACCGCGCTCTGACGGAGCGCCTGACAGTTGGTCGCTGTCTGCAGATCCTCGGTGTTGTCTTCTGCAATATCCCAATGGAGACCATCGCTCTCCTAATCTAGCAAAATGACATTTTGCTGTTCAATACTCGTATTGGCTACAACACCCTTAATTCGACCTGGCGAAAGAAACGTCCAGTCATAGGCCCTCACGAGGTCGGATTGGAGCCTCTGGCGCAGGTTCGGACGCACTTGCAGACCGCCCCCTATTTCCATAGCTGGTGCACTCAACAGTATCGCTATCGCACAACGCCTAAGTTTGGCCTGTTGATGCATGCCCAGTTCAGCTGGTGGTACGATGAAAAAGTAAGTCTGGACCCCAGTCCGTTGCAGCTCCATACCCGCTATGCTGAATGGCAGAATTTTGGCATACTTCCGAGCGGACAAAGAATCGCCCCGTGGTCCGTAATCTACGGATTATCCACCCATGAGTACGTGGGCCAGAACGATACCTGTTCCAGTGTCATGGTCCGGGAATAGCAAGGCAATGGCCGTGGAAGCTCCAACACCCATTCCTTCGGCGTAGTCTAAATGATTGATGTGGATGCTAGGTTCTTTAACTCAGTCCTGTACCGCTGCTGTCGTTCGACTGGATCCGGCAGACTAGGGGATAGCCACGGCCCGACGAGCAGCTGCACATAAGTACCGGGTGTTCGCCGGGATCGAGATGACTGTCGTTCTCATTCGGTGAGTGGCGACTCCCCCTCTGACCAGAGGCCTCGTAGAGCCCCCAAACATCCATGCCTGCCAAGCCTTAAAATATATGTCCTTGCGTTGTGTGAGCCATAAGATGACCTGTTTAACCCGCCGTGTCTTGCACGCTATCAGTGTTGATGCCAGCCCGACCCAACCCGCTTGTTGAGGTGTATGCAGCAACGTTGGAGCAATCTTGTGGCGAGGAGCGTCAGTACTGTCCGAGCAGTTCACAGAAACTGCTTCTGGAGATTTCGAAGCTGGAGTTCTGCCCAGGGTGGAAGGTCGAAGACCACCGCCGTAAAAAAGATCGACGGTAACATGATGACGTTCAAAATTATCACCCGAAGCAAAACACTGGTGGCGAGTTGAGACGCGGTGGCCAGGCGACGCTGCACGTTACAAATTCGCGCTGCCCGGTTTGTGTCCGAGACCTCACCAGTCCCAACATAGTAGCCCAGATAACGTGTCGTATCCCATGCTGGAGCACCGGGATACTGTAGAACTCCGTCGTATGGAACTCCAAATTAAGAAATGTGATCTTGCTTTTGCGCGGTTGCACCTGCAAGCCCGAAAGCTTGCCAAATTGATCAACGATCTGTAGCACTGCCGAAAGTTGAGCTGCCTCATGTGGGACGACAGTTGTATCATCGACGAAAGCAGAGACTTTGTGTTTAGCAACATTTCCGTTGGGCACCTCTACGCCGGTGATCTGCTCATTAGTATTAATTGCCAATGCGAGAACTTCCGCCGCGATGATAAATAAAAAGGCGCAAGTGGACATCCTTAGCGAATAGCAGAAATCATCTCTTGAGACTTAGAAAGCTCCCCGTTCACAAGGAAGTGGGCCGTGGTTCCAGTATGAATATTACTGATCATTGTAGTAAATTCCGGCGAGAACCCAAACCTCGTAAGTGTCACAAGTATGAAATCTCGGCCAACCGTATCGTAGGCCTTTCTGAAGTTCAACAAGAGAAAAGCTTCGATACTCTCCATAGGCACCTCGGGCTTGGCCGAAGCTGTAGTGAGAACGCCTATCATCATCATAGCAGTCTTTTTCATCTGTCTCCCCTGCACAAAGCCTTGCTGCGAATCACAAATAATTCCACAAATGCGTTGCACGCGTGTAAGGATGACTTAGTGACGATATTGTACCCAGCTTGTAGAATTGCAATCGGACTGTAGTCCATCGCATCCTGCGAGTCGCTCTGTTTGCGCAAAAAAATAATGAAAATTCTTAAAAGGATGGAGGAGGTTGACCGCCTTGAAGTAGCTCGTTACCAATGGCCACTATAGCAGGAGCCATGACCTCCTGATTGTCCTTAAAAATCGTTATTGAGTCCATCCATTCCCACTGCTTTGTGCCGCTTAAGGCCCTCAATGCAGTGATCACTTCGGTCAAGCTGATAGCCTTCATAAGCATGCCATTGTCGATAGCCGAGACACAGCGATTGGCAGGAACCTGAATAAATGCATCAAAAGCAGATACCAGTTGCGGCCGCTGTAGTTGACGGCGCACGGCACCCAGTATAGGCTGCCATTCCAAAGCAAACCGGTCAGCAGTCGTCATCTTGCGTGTAAATGCTGCTTCGTTGATGTGACGAATAGTGGTAACGGTCTGGTCCTTCTTAAAGATAGACACACGATTAAAGCTCCTCCGAAGTTGATATATGGTCCGCTCAAGACGGTTGCCTACCCGGACCAAATGCTTCTACCGAGCCTCCTCCACCGAGACGTCTATCAGCGCTTTTCGCGTCAGAAGATGCGCTCGGCTTTCGGGCTGTACCCGGCGCACAACTGAATATTGCCTCTGGCGTACAAGTTTGTGGAGCCGCTTTAAACATTTAAGGCACGCTCCAGCGGTAATGTTTCAATTCGAAGTCGTCGCACCGTGCCCCACCCCTTCTTCTATCAGGATGGCCAGTAAATCAGCTACAACACGTACTGGCTGCGCCGACCGGACGGGGTAAGTAACCGGACGGTGCTTCTGCCGGGCAACGTGAGTAACGGCCTGGTCGTCGAAGTGCAGCCGCACCCGTTGATGGTCCGAATGGACTTGAGGTTTGACAACCGAAACATATTGTACCACCGACGACCAGTCTTGAGGCACGTAAAAAAGATCGATCCGACTCGCCACATCCGGACCCTAGTATGTGAAAGAATCGAAGGGTCATGTTCCTCACCATCGCCTTGGACGTTTTCACTGAGAATGCGAGCGTCCACAAGATGGGCGGACTCCACAAGAGTCTGAAGCGCTACGCTTTCGGGACGCCCCGTCCGTGTCCCACAGAGCCTGTCAGGCGTCGGAATCTGAACTCGATCAAAAATCTCCCGCCAGAATCGTGGCTTGCTGTGACCAAGGCCAGCTCTGTATTTAGTGAGAAAACGTTAGCGATCGGATTGTTTGTTAGGCGCGTAAACATTCACCAACCAAAAAATTTTACAATCAACTTCAACGACCCGATCTGACCAGCAAGAAATGTACTATGCGGCTGTTGACTTGTCTATAGATGGGTGAAGTAAAATTGCCACACCAGCCACCCGTCGTTCACCGATCTCCAATACGACAACGCGAGGGCACCGGGTCGAGAAGGTTGCCCCCATAACTTGGCCCAGAGAGAGGTTAGGTAGTCGACCTCTCTCGGGTGCGGACATGAGTCTCCTGCAGCATATAAGCCAGCGGTCTATCCGCTACCGACGTCCGTCTCCAGGCAGCAAGCCATCTATCTCGTGTCTTTTTTCGAAATCCCCTGACGTTCTGAGATTCAATTAGAGTGGCTCCCTGTAACCGTTGAGAGCACCGGTCGAACTGCTCCGACCAGTTTGTTCGCCGGAGATAGATGTGACTGACGTAAGCATCCGTAGGACCGTGACCGCTCCCTCGGAGTAGAGCCCCGGTTCCTAATGTATGACCGCTCTTAGTCATGACGGACGCTCTCCTCCGCTCCGTGCTCTATAGCACCGTCAAAAAAGGTTGCGAGTTTAACCCACTCCACATTGTAAGATTTAGTAGCGTACGCTTCAAGATACCGCCCCACTGATTCAAGAGCCTGAATGTGACGGTCTAGACGGTGCACAGCCCCGTTGTCCGTACAATCTTCTTGACCAAATAGAAGTCGTATTTCTTTATCGTACAGTCCGGCGCAAATAAAATGCTTGCCTAAGCGACATTTGTAGTTCATGTCACATAGTTTCAAGATCGTCTCGTTGCCATTGTCATTAGCGCAAAGGCGTATCCAGTCGTCGCGGCTGTCGGTAAACGCTGGAAAATTAAATGGGGCTGGCCTTGTGAACTTGACTCCCCATGCATCTAACCACTGGCGCGTCGCAGGATGCGTCGTCCTTGAGTGATAGGAAATCAAACGTGCTTAGACACAGCTACGCCTCCAGGCGGCTGTCCAGCTCTTAAAAACCTGGTCGTCGATAGCTCGGAGAAACTCCTCAGGATTGGGGAATCATTGCAGTAAGTAAAGAAGCACCCGCAGCTCCCGCTGCGACACCTGAACCCACTCGTCTGTGCTACTGTGCATGTAGGGAAATGCGACCGTAGCCGAAACCGGACAGGCGTCCCCATGTTTATGCCACATATCCGGCCAGGTCTCTCTTAGTGACATGAGATCCGCTGACCTGATGCAGTGTGGAAAGTCTTGTATAACAGCCTACCCATCTTGAACATCTCCCGCTAGCTTAGTCCGCATAATTCGTCAAATTGGTTCCCCTTCGGCAGGAGCAGTCGAGTGCGACATCTTTTGAGCAATCGTTTGCTCATTGGAATACCAAGCAGAGGCAAGCAACGCCAGTTGGACCCGTTGGGGCTTGGATGACTATTCGACGATGGGTCGATAGTGACCTCTGTGGAAAGCGGGTACTCTGTAGTCTGCATAACGACGTCCTTGCCCCCCGAACGTTGCGGCTCCGTGGGGTCCTGTTTAGTCTCGTCGAGATGAGAACACGAATCAACACTTGAAGACCCGGTATGAGCGTAATCTGAGTAATGATCATCCAGAATCTCAAAACAAGAGGTAGGTTCTTGTCCGTAAAATTAGCCACTGCGATCGCTTGCGCGCACTGGCTTATCTCCAATGGCACGTTTTGTTTGGTCTCGAAAATTTTGGCTCCCCTTGTAATCGTGCTAGGAAGATACAGGGAGCAGGCTTAGGAAGCGAGGTCCCCATTTATGTGCGAGTACAAACATCTGACGCTGCAGAGAGTTTACCGCTATCGAAAGTTATTGCAACTTCCCCAATTTTGCTTCTCGATTATTGCTAGCCGGGTTGATGGTGTCGCAGAGCATTCATGAAGGTACCACTAAAAATTTCGAGGAACTCCTAGCGTCCATTCCTTCCCAGCCCCGCGACACATTACCAACGTCCCCGTGCTGTCAGAGTGGGTAGATTGTTCGTTAAAACTTATTAGAACCGTCCAACAGACGCCACGCTTAATACAAGCGGTACTGTTCTCCAAAATAGTGTCTTGGGCAACCAGAACATGGTACGCCGCCGCTTGCGCGATCGCCATCGCCGGAAAATTCCCTATAGCGGAATTTATGACTGGTCTTAGACCAAGGGCCCGTTCAGTAGCGGGTAAATCGTGGATATCGCGTTCCACATAACTCTCCACCGGTAGCAGGAGCCCCATGCCAAAATTACCATCTGCCAATACCTTACGAAACGTAGCTTGTTCACGCTGCTTGAGCGTAACAAGCTGAGATGTCGGTCGCCGGCTAGGTAGTTTCGACGAACGGACATGCAACAATTTCTTCTCGGACGCCAAAGTCTGGGGTACCTCGAACGGCTTTGTCAAGGTCTCAGCCCTGAGGTCTACCGTGTCCTCGATATGTGGGTGGGGTATTGGTCGGTAGACTTGTGTCTGTGTCATCAGGCCACTCATCGAGACCTGCGTAAAACGATGATGCCACTGTTTTACGCGTTGCAGGTGTCTTCGTACGGGGTTTAGGTTCTTACCCCTGCGAATAGGGACTGTCACCCATTTTCTCTTGGGCACTGGTGCATTCCCGCGGAAATCCGAGGGAGTCTGTGAAGTGCCATCGCTAAATATCGTGGTCTCAGGTGTGTTGGGTGTACCTGACACGGACGAGGCAGGTTCCACGGCCGCCTGCCTCCTTTTGTTCTGGTCCTGTTGGAGTTTCAACCTGGTCTCAGCCGCCTCTTTAAGTTCATTTAAACTGCTGAATGGCGTGGCCAAATCCTCTAGACTAGAAATTTCGCAGCCAGTTGCAACCCTGCTGCCGGGCCCGAACAGTTGTTCCACCGTATACGAACATCTCACCCTGGTGTGACCCAAGTCCCCACAAGAAAGACATCGTAGACGACTCCCAACATCTGGGTGGTTAAGAATGATAGGTCCGCCAAGCCAAAAAAATGCGTACGATTTCGCGCAAAAATTCAGGACGGCCAGCCAGCCTGCCTGTCAATCGCCACACAGTAGAATTTCAGGAATCAGGTGTACACGTATCCGTATCCCCCAAATCAAACTCTGCAGTAATATGCTCTTGGAAATAAGCAGTCAGCCGGCCAATATCCGTGAAGCGGGTGACGTTATGTAGCTCCTCTGAATTATCCCGCTCAGTAGCCAGACGCTTTCCATCACGGCTGAGTTGACGGGTCCAGACCGACCCCTTAAACGAAAGATGCATGTTGGTCACATGGTAGACCTCGTTCCGAAACGGTACGGATACCAACTCGAAATTCCGTGCCGTGACACGGTTGTAAAAAATAGAATTGAATGCAGCGTTGAAGGGGGTTGTAGCTTATCGTCTTAGCAACATTAAGAAATCGCCGAAGAATTTACTGGTCCACTCGCAATCATTCCGCAGCTAATAACATGTCTTCCTTGATAGCACTTGTGGTCTGTCGACACAAACGAATGTTCGTCGTGCTACGCAGGTGCAACACGAGTTCACCATCCACCTGAGACCGAAAAGTCCGGGCAAGTCGGACGCGTTCCTACACATCCAGAACGATACTTAGAAAAACCGACAGGCGCCTGCATACGATGCTTCCCTCCGCTAGCCCGCTGATAATCCTCCGATCATCTAGTGTACCGTCACGAAGCTGGACACCGCTCTTGGAGATTGCTGACTGCAAACACAGCGCCCGTTAAGTCCCAATGTCCTGCGAATTGTGGACCGCCGGATCAAACGTGACGACTCTGTAAGTGTCACGGTAATCTTGGAGGCGTTTCCCTCCGTCCGTGGCTCCAAGATCCGTCTTGGGGGACGTTGCCCACTGTTTCATCGGCTTCAGCTTAGCCCGTTCGATTTTTCTGATCATGCTCTGCACAATAGGTAAGAAGGTCCGATTAGTGTTGTAAAGTGTTGGAGTCACTTTTGTGGCGTATGCTGCCCATGCCGCGTACGTGGCATCACATCTCACACACGCGACCTCGAAGAACTGGAAAGGGGTGAGCTTTTCTTCACGAAGTAATCTTGGGAAACGCTCCTATCCAGGAGGGACTAGCTCTTCATCAATTTTGACGGAGTCGTGGACTATCGTGAATAGCTCGGCTAGCGTCGTAAGCCATTAGTCACGTGGAGGTTCACTTATAGCCATTTGTCGAGCCTAACAACGCCGCGTACATGTCTTGTGGCCGGACGACTGAAAACGATCCGTCCGGAGATCCAGCACGCGTCGTAGTGTCAAGCGACGGGTCGACTGGTGTAACGGGGTGAATCGTTACATAACAATTTATAAGAAATTGTTAATAGAATATAACTGTAAGAGTTATATTCTCAGAATATTGTCATAAGGACAAATATTTTGCAGCACTTACGAGTAGTTTCTAATTGGTTGATATAGGCCATTATATCAACCAACGAAGACGCGCCACGACAGACGCACGCAATGAGTGGTGAGCAGATAGTTGATGTACACATTTGTATTTAGACACAGTTAGATGAGGATAAACAGTGGTTTATTAACAGACATTAACTATTATAAATACAGTTCTACTTTTTACTTAAACCAAGTACTCGCTTCTTCTTACCGTCTTCCTCTGCACGTACCAGTGTACGTGAATTTCCGAGGCACCGCCTTATTCTGTCATCAGAATAAGAAGCTTGTACTGTCATCAGTACAATCTTCAGGGTGCCCCGTTACACCTGGGACAGGCGGTGAACTGGCTTCCGACTTGAAATTTAGCGACGGTCGGGAAAAGACCGGCTCCGTTTTGAGTCCCTACTTAATTTTAGGCAACAGGTGACGGGGAACAGGCGTACAATCGGTAGAGACACTCTCAGGAACGGCTGTGTCGCCGAGCGTTGCAGACGAGGCAGACGAGGGTCTCGCGTTATATCCCTCCGAAAGGACAGCGCGTTGGTCTACTCCTCCCCTACTGGGCAGCGACCCTTCTCTGTGAGAGTGGCTCTCCGGCTCCTGGGTTCGACGATCGCCGACCTCTTGGTCGGGCGGTACGCTGTCAAGCGGCGGCAGTTCCCCTGTGACGGGGTCCGCCGATCCGCGCATGGGGCGTAGAGGACTGAAGAAGCCGGGCTCAGGCTGAGAAGCGTGAGGCAGATTAATGTACAAAGAGTGCTTTCAAACCTGGCAGCTGGTACGGGGCTGACAGGGCGGTGCGCGGAGCGTTGCAAATTTGAAACTGACACTGCTCATTAACTGATATAGGATCAATGTAACAGGATGAGCCTGTCACATGTGGCTTAGCCTTATACTTGTTGATTAGTATACGATCAAAAAGGCTGATAGTGCTATAGATTATTACCGCAAGGAACAATCATTTGAAGCACTCACCGATTAGCTAATACAAGCTATCGTAATAGCCAGCTCGAGCGGTCCAATCAACAATGGACGCGCGCACTGGTGGTGGCGCGCACCAAGACTTTTACATACACTTTTGTAGAAAAACATTATTGAGTTAGGACAAAACTTTGGTGCATGTAATCAGGACTTACTTACGTTAAGTACACTTGCTTTCTGTTCCTTTTATACGAGTCGTTCATTAGCTAGCCTTCCTCTGCACGTACGGTGTACGTGACGTGACGCGCGGCACTACCTACACTGTTTTCAGAGTAGGTGCGCTAGTACTGAAGCAGTACTAGTTTTCAAAGCCCCGATACAGTCAAGATGTTAACTATTACAGTCAAGCCACGACGGATGCACGCAATGAGTGGCGCACAGATAGTTCCAGTACATGTTTGTATTCAGACATAGTTAAAAGAAATCAAACCGGGGATTGTTAAAAGAATTTTTATACACTGAAGACATTTCTACTTTTTGCCTTTGCTTAGTACTCTTGATCCGTTTAGCAACATTCCTCGGAGTGTACGTGTACGTATGGTAGTCGGACTCACACGCCCTTGAACGGCGAGCAGTGCAAAAATTTTCAGTTTTATGAACAAGGTGAGCCCCGTCACATTTTGTAGCACTTTGTAGTCCGGTAAACGACCATGAACATGTTAACGATGAGGGAAACAAATATCACATAACGCATGAAGGCTACTCCCACCCAAGTCATATTGAATGGGTTGCAGTCAAACGTTTGAGCTTTACGATGGCGTTAGAAGAAATAAGCGCAAGCTGTCCGATCTGCTACCGGGTAGACTTGTGTACGTCGAACAGAGACTCTTAATATTGACATCTTAAATTACAAGGGGGCCGATCAAGTTTCTTTGCTAAGATCGATCGTGGAAGTAGACAATGAGAGAAAGGCTTGCTACACCGTCGAATAGCAAAGCGGAGCTCATTTGCTCATTTGAACCTGGCAGGGCATGCAAAGACGCGGGCATTGGGTCTTAAGTTACACAAAAAAATCGTCTTTAGGTCTTCGGATTTCTTTAAGTCCCTTATTAGACAGGCATTTAAACCGCTGCGAGCTAAGTTCAAGGGTCGCTCTGAACTCCTGAAAACCACGCAAGGTAAACATGACGTGCACTCGTACATGCAGTCCATTCAACCCCCTGTAGTTGCATTACAGTCAACAAAACGAATCAACAATTGTTGAAAACATTTTTCATGCTGGGTATGACGGATGGTCCCACTTAAAACATACTTGTTCCGGTCGAGATTTACAATTGGAACAGGCCGTATGGGTTGCGGAACAGGAGGATTTCAGTGTAAGACAAGCTTACGCGAGTTCGTATACCTACCGTCCGTCGGGACGACAGGAAATTGAAGGCCTAGAACCGATGTACCTCTGTCGCGCGAGGAGAGAGCTCTCGTGTTAAGAACTACAAGAATTTCCGAACAGGCAATTGATTTAAGGACAGAGCATTATCATACGAATGCAGTTCTCCGAGCGCGGTACCATGTACCATAGGAATAAATAATCAACAAGGGGCCAAGCAGGGTTTAAGGCGTGGGTCCGAAGCTGTTGTCAATACACAACACTTAAAAGAAAGTTATACAGCAGTCCCAGTCAGCAGGCGCGGATCACACTACTGATCCAGCAACGTCGTATGATTGTGCAGGCCTATCGACGAAAGTTACTCTCAACACTCGATAATTGTGTGTTGCTGCTACTAATAAAGATCTTCCTCTCACTACCCTGAAACTTAGAGTAGCACGAAACTTGTTTCTTTTAGCGTAAGTAATTTGTGGGACGTCGAACTAATTCATACAAAGCCAATCACTAGAAATTAGCGACTTCGGACGTATCGAGCGTGAGAATTCCCTCCCCAACGAGGATGATGGTGCGCCTCGCGACAGGCGCGTCCGTTACAGTGATGAATCATATATTGAATATAACACATGCAGGGAGTCCAATATAATAATAACATCATCATTGTGGACTTGAATTAGAGTTTGATGTAATCCTTGGACTGCTGTGGATCATAAAGTACAACTTCAGCTGGTATCGACGAATAGTCGATACGTCCGACACTTGTTCAACAGATGAACATCTGATTATTGCCATGTAGCGCCCGCTAGCAGGCGGGCAATTTGCGAGCGAGTGCAATGTCCCTGTGTGTATCATTTCGTCGTTAGTACGACTGGACATGAAGCCTAATTCCGGTGACTGCATTAGAAGCAGGTCGCGCCGAAGGCTTACCACCCGAAAAGGTCGTGTGGACTGGGCATGGTGTCCTCCAAACGGTTTACATCCACTTGACAACGGATTGAGTACGAACGATTAAGATAATGTGATCTCAACGCGATTGGATAATCGCACATACTAGAATTGGCAGCGATAGCGCAACCTCCGCCAGAGGATAGCGAGGGATCAATCCAGTCGTTTCATGTTATGATTTGGCGTTAAGAGCCTAGTGAGGGAATAAATCCCCATCCAATTGTAAAAATTAGTTCCCAGGAAAAAGTAGAGACTCTAAAGTCATGGTCAATGACGGATCAAGTGTAGGCACAACCAACTTAATATGATCGCGCTATCGATGACAACTTTAAAGTTTACTCAACTGTCCACGCTCGACCAGGAAAGAATCTTGAGTTATCTGCGTAGTGTCAAAGTCAAGCGGATTTGCGTAATTGTCGCGAACGACGAGTACTTAGTCGATTTTCGGTCGGCAATGTTAATCGCTGAGTACGAAAGGGTTCCGAGCAGCCCATCAATGTACGAAAGTGTACTCGATAGATAGAATTTAATTGATCAATACACATCTTAATCGTGGAATTTGCTTGAATAAAATACTTTCTGCGATGATGTGACGGAATGCAGAGATTATTTCACACAGACATTGACATGCGAGTAACCCAAGGAAAAAGACTTCTGTCGTGAGATCAACCTGAAAACAAACTTAAATTACTGTGTCACGAAGCATTCTCCAATGCCTCATAAACAGGTACTAGTGATTTATAGAAAAAATGCCAATCGCTTGGCGGCGGGCCATGTAAGTGAATCTATTTCCCCACATAGATCTCTAACCTTCCGGGTCCGAAAGACCACAGGAGGCTGGAGGATCGTACATTCCTTCATCATATCGAATGCCAAAAATGTACCGGCTCAAAAGTAGATACCAAGAAAGGATGTCATTTTTGATATCATGGAAACGAGTACCACCTTTTTTCGGTGGGTCTAATGGAAGGGTTCTATCAGATTCTTATGCGTGAAAGGAACATCCCATACACTGCGGTAAGCACCTTAAGCGGTATACTATGAGAGCGTATATTAGATCTACAGGCATTGAGTTTTACCCCTGCTACGTTCAACAGACGCGTTACGAATTTGTTAAAATCTGTTCGAGAATTTGCACCTAGTTATTTAGATGATGCGTTCTTAAATAGCCAGCGAATAGGTGGACAGGAGGAGGTGGATTTATACCGAATCCGATCCCAAAGGTTACTTACACTGACGAGTGAGCATA